TAATGGAGGCAGACTGGAAGCATGCTGGCACTATGGATCGATCCAGCCAGGTGTTAAAGACGTCTGTGAGGACACCAGCCACCTGATCTGAACACTCCTTATACACCTGCCCAGGTATGTTATCAGGACCCCGGGCCTTTCTTGGCCTTTCTACCAGTGGCGGCTGGACAATAGAGGGTGCTAGGACGCTGACCCACCCACCCAATGACACTGATTAAGACAGTTCACCCCTCTCTCCGGGAGGGTACCTGGTGCACCCATTCCAAGCAACCCCAAAACCCATCAATGTCTAAATATGAGTGGGGAAAGAGAGAGCTATACATTATGACCCCCCAGCCCCCAATCCCCTGCCGCCAGAGCCCTACATATATACATGTGTTGTGAAAATGAAAACTTCTAAGATGTATATTAAAATCGGGGTGTGGGACTTTTCTTGGGTAAAAAATATTCAAATATTCATTCCTGGTAAATTAACAGAGATTGATGGATCTTACACAGTCAGCATTTTATTTCTCCATTGCAAAGACCGAACAAGATACTGCCATACTGCCCTGGTTGCATGGTAATCAGCCCTGTTCTGATCTGGGCAGTGTTTGTCTCCCTTATTTATAATTTGGTTAAACAATAAAAAACATTGAGAAAGAATCTGGCTTGTTATGGGGATAGTATTTCTTGTATGCAAACACTCCTCATTCAGAAATTTTGTGGCCTTGCGGTTGAAACAGTCTGAGTAAAAACATGTTTTAGTGGATAAATAGCATAACTCAATATATGAAATAAGAGAAATCTAAATTTTCCAACCACAGTAACTGATATCAACTGAAAGTGGTACCCTCCAAAAACGTTAAAAATGCCCCCCCATCACCAAGGTCCTAAACTTACAGTTCCTCAGTTATTTACTTTCCATTTGGCAAGGATTACTTAAAGTTAGGTGTATGTTACTAATCATTTGCTTACAGACACAGAACAAGTTTGTTTACTGAGCTATGAGAGTTGCACATAAGAAAAAGTCTATTGAATTCATTAATCCCTTGATCTAGTTTTAAATGTTAAAATCACAACTAACCTGCATTACAGAACCACCAGCTGTGTGAGAATGGTTGACCCATTTTGAAATTAGCAGGATAGCCCCCCCACAGTGTAGGCCAACTTTAAGTAATGGCCTTTGTGAAATGAGGGTCTATAAACACAGTCTTTCTGTTGGCCTTTGCTGTTTTTTTTGTTTTTTTTTTTGCAGCACTGTTGATGCTTTTGATGTCTCAGGAATTAAACCAGAACATTCATTTATAACTACACCATGCATACTTATTTAAAGCCTGACACAAGCTTTAAAAAAAAGAACAAAAAACACATATGAACAGGAAGCTGTGGAGGCTATGTTTAGGCTCCTAATTCTTATAAACACTCAATGACGTTTTTAGCAGATCTTGGTGCTGATGAGGTCATCATAGTGTAGGAATATATAGTGCCACAATGGAACCAAATCAATTTGATGAACCATTTCATCCCCCCTTCCCTTTGCAAAAGAGAACAAAGAACCTTCCCCACCCCTGACTGCAAAGAGCAGAAAGCCCTGGAAAAGTCAATGGCA